CTCCCGGACAGGAGTGACCTGTCATCTTTCATCAACTACCAGCATGCATGCGTTCCACCTGACCCATTACGTAATGACTTTACAGCTTTAAGAGGCTAGATTTCTGGAGCACCTTTCAAGAAGAATAAAGATCTAAAGCACATAATACTGCGAAGGTTCATCACCAATAGTACCAGTTTATTTACTAATCCAGTGACGAGAGACCTTTAGTACAAGATAAAAAATCACCACTAACCAGTTTCTCCCAGAAACTTAAACTCTAGCAGTATAAAAACCTTCCAACAGGAAAATATAAACGCAAATACCACTTCAAACTTATCCTCAACCAGTTACTTCTAAACAGCAAGATCTACGTGATAAACTTCAGTAAAAGTACTCCAACAAGAAATACTCAAATATTACGCGGGATTATAACACCCTATGCGTAACAAAAATCTGATCAGGCCATCAAAAAGTGTTTGCTCTGATTGAAGTAGGTGAATTATATTCTGGTTCTCTCATGTGGAAAGGCTTACAAACAACCATTTAACAATTCTTTTACAAATTCAAAGACCAAAATATAAGTGAAAAATGTTCAAGGAATAAATTCAGTCCTATGCAAAAAAAACATAAATTCTCTGTTGACGAAGCACATTTTATGGCTATTCCAAAAAATTAACAAGTAACAATCATAGATAAAATTATGTTTGAACAAAGGAGAAAAGAACGGCCACTGAACAAAAAAAAAAAAGAAGATAACATTGCACAACCACCTACAAAAAAGAGGGGAGAGAATGTTGATGGGTAAGAGAATACTAGGAAAATAAAATACTCCGAGCTAAGAATTTTAAGAACTCGACCATTTTGGCTTCCTTTTTTCTCCAAATGCTGTCATGCCCTCTTTTCGATCATTCTAAAAACAAAAATGAAAGTAATAAAGTACAATTTTAAGAATTAAACTTGATATGCTGATAGCAAAATAAAACTTTCAACATTTTACTGTCAACAATTGAAAAATTGTTTAGATTTCGATGAACATTTAAAGTAAAGCCGAAAAGATTTTCCAGTAACAGACTGAAAATGACTCACGGTAGCAAAAGTATTGTAGAAAAGACGCTTCTCCATTGCAAGCCCTTCTTTTAGAGTTGTTTCGTATGCAGCATTTACAGACTCCTTAGCCATAGCAACAATTAAAGGTGAATGTTCAGCTATTTTTTCTGCCACTTTAATTGCTTCTGGTACAACCTGAACTGTCAGGTGTGAAATAAACAAAAAAAAAAACTAAAAGAGAAATAAAACTAACCTCATTTACTGGGAAAACTTTGGAAACTAATCCGCGTTCCTTTGCTTCGGCAGCGCTAATTCGATCACCAGTTAAGCACAGTTCCATCGCTAAAGACTTACCAACTGCCCTTGTCAATCGTTGTGTACCACCAGCCCCTAGAAAATTATTTCTGTTAAACCCAAAATATCATTAAAAATTGGTGGCTTCAAAAGCCGTTTCTATAAAAAGGAAAAGTTAAAACAGAAAGCAAAACAACCCAGGAATCAGGGCAACTGCTGAACAGGAAAGAACGGCAAATGAAGGCCTAAAATCGGGCTTCACTTCATCCGCCAAAATATTATTTCCTTATAACTTTACACAAACCTTACTTTAACACTGTTTCAATGTAATAACATAATATACTGTGCAAAAGAAACCCCATAAGAAATACAAAAAATCTCAACAGCAAAATATTATATTCTAAAAATACTTCAGTCGCTTTTAATACCAAAATGAGTACTAGCCCTTAAATTTTTGAGACATACCACAACTGCCCAAGTGTCAACTTAATTAATTAATTGTGCAAAAACTGGACGTCCCTACCAGGTATGGTTCCAATAGTAATTTCAGGTTGTCCAAATTGAGCCTTCTCACCAGCATAAATAATATCACACATCATAGCCAATTCACAACCACCACCTAATGCGTAGCCATTCACGGCAGCAATCACTGGCTTCTTCACTTTCGAGAGCACACCCCATTGTTGGAGAAAACCACTTAGAAACACATCAGCGAAATGTCTGTTTTTCATTTCTTTAATGTCTGCTCCAGCTGTTAAATACAATCTTACTTGTCTATTAACAAACAAATATTCAAATCTAAAACCATGCAAAGAGGATTAAACTGGCGAGCTAGTCTGCCCCCAGAAATAATAAGACACAAAACGTATTCAGACTAAACCTCACCAGCAAAAGCACGGTCAGAACCAGTGATTACAATAGCCTTCACATCCACATTTTTCTCTACTTCAGTTAAGACCTCGCCCAACTAAATCATCAAAAAATGTTATAGCTTTCAAATATAATAATGTTTTAAAAAACTTCAAAACAGTAGCAATTATATCAAAAGTAGTTGCTGTTACTTATTTGTTTCACTAAACTACTTATAAAATAATGCATCTACCAATAAAAAACTCTATGGCTTATAAAAACATGCCTAATTATCTCTGAGCATTATAAGACTTCTAAAACTTCAAGATAAGCAATGTACGACAGTTTTACTTTGACTTCCCGACCCGCTTACTCGAAAACAATATTGCACGTTAGTAAATAAAAGCAGAAAATATAAGTAAATCAAAAAAGTTTCATCATCCTCAGTATAACGCAAAAATGGTGGTTTCAAACTTTTCTAAAATAATAACAATTTCAGGAACAAGAAATGTCACAGTATATTTCAGATAACTCCGTAGTCAGTTAACAAAAAAAGTACAGTTACAATTATTGCTTTTTGATAAATAACAGGACAGTATGCCCTGTGAAGTGTTCTAAACCAACCTCTGACATAAGCTGGTCACATAAGGCATTCATTGCTTTTGGACGATCCAATCTGATCAAAGCAACATTTAACTTCGTTCCCACGAGCTCAGTCTTCAGCATTTCATGTTTTGAAGTAAGATGATGCACTAAATGAATCACATCTGCCAACTAACAACAAAATCAGTATCCGAATACAAAAATAATTCTATGCAAAATACAAAAATTTAGCTTCACTGAAAACATTAAACCTTAAAACTAACAATCGTGAACAGTTGAAAGAAGTCGTGGTGCAGAATAACGAAAAGTCACCCCGTCGGATACCAAAGATTTAATACACCTCTTCAACATAGTTTGATTCTATTGGGTCTTAAACCTCTTCTGTAAACACACTTTTCAGTTCAATTTATAAAAAAATAAAGAAGTAAAAAAAGTTGCATCTAAAAACCGACAACACTGTTCATTCCAAACAGGTCAACTTCATCCAGACATATATCAAAACACAAGGAAAAAAAATTTTTGAACAGTAATCAAATGCACCGCCAAATGAAATTTTATCATTTGTACAGTGAAACATTTGAGCAATGTTGATATAATATTTACTTCGGCTTGTCTACTGCAAATGTTTGATGTCAGAAAAAAATAAATAATTTTTTCCCACCCTAATTCCAAAACCCTAACAAACGTGCGCATGAATGATTGTGAAGCAAAAAATAAGAGAAAAAAATAGAAATAAAACGGGATTTGAAAAATTAATAAAAAGACCTCCTAAAATCCATAACCAAGACTGAAGGATGCAAATAATCCAGAAGGTAGTAAAATGTCGGTAATATATTTTGAACAATATATAAACCTAAATAAACAATAACTAAACATAAATGCGCAAAAAATCTACTATACATAGGAAATCATCGTTAAGTGTCAAACTGATAACAGTGTGCGGAGAAATCAGAGTTCGGAGTGGGGTTAACACCAAAGTTTTGCAACAAAAGGTTTTTCACATTATTTAGTGGCGCATTAAAACGTGCAAAACCTACTCTGATCAACTTCGCTTCTTCTTTCTTGTTTTTGATTCTTTTTCTTCATCTTTTTTTCCATCACCGTCGACCCCGTTTTCAATGAAATTTTTTTTACCAAAGTATCTGTAACACATAACAAGCTAACAGAGACACAGAAACAGTAAACGCCGATGTGCTTGCCTGCTGTAGCGGCATCAACAGTAAAATCAGCACTGGCCACTACATGGCTGATCTTGAGCATCACCATAAAAACTATACGCTATGCTCGTGGGCTGCCACAGTGTTTATACAAATGAGAATGATGTGATCGGGTTGCACAGATATATACTCTCGTTCAATTCTAATTTTAAGTCTAAGAATACTGGTGGAAAAATGAATTTGTTTTGGGAACGACTTGCGCAACTTTGGCGCAGTGCCACTGGTGTGTAAAGAGGTACCTCTGCGTTGAGCCAGCGGACTTCGGAAAGCTATGCATAACTTTTGTATTACACGTGTGTATGATGTATAACAAAGAGCT